CTTTTCTTGTTCTGTACCAGTAAAACTGAATAGTAAATCAGTCTTTTCTTGTTCTGTACCAGTAAAATAGTCTTTTCTTGTTCTGTACCAGTAAAACTGAATAGTAAATCAGTCTTTTTTTGTTCTGTACCAGTAAAACAGTCTTTTCTTGTTCTGTACTTGTAAAACAGTCTTTTCTTGTTCTGTACCAGTAAAACTGAATAGTAAATCAGTCTTTTCTTGTTCTGTACTTGTAAAACAGTCTTTTCTTGTTCTGTACCAGTAAAACTGAATAGTAAATCAGTCTTTTCTTGTTTTGTACCAGCAAAACAGTCTTTTCTTGTTCTGTACTTGTAAAACAGTCTTTTCTTGTTCTGAACTTGTAAAACAGTCTTTTCTTGTTCTGTACCAGTAAAACTGAATAGTAAATCAGTCTTTTCTTGTTCTGAACTTGTAAAACAGTCTTTTCTTGTTCTGTACCAGTAAAACTGAATAGTAAATCAGTCTTTTCTTGTTCTGTACCAGTAAAACAGTCTTTTCTTGTTCTGTACCAGTAAAACTGAATAGTAAATCAGTCTTTTCTTGTTCTGTACTTGTAAAACAGTCTTTTCTTGTTCTGAACTTGTAAAACTGAATAGTAAATCAGTCTTTTCTTGTTCTGTACTTGTAAAACAATCTTTTCTTGTTCTGTACCAGTAAAACTGAATAGTAAATCAGTCTTTTCTTGTTCTGTACTTGTAAAACAGTCTTTTCTGAATAGTACATCACCCTGTTCTTGTTCTTTACTTGTAAAACTGGAGTGTACATCATTCTATTTAGCACATTTACTACACTGTATTCTGTATCAGTAAAACTGGATAGTATACAATTATATTCAACACATTTACTAATTTTTACACCATGGGGAAATTTTGGCAACAGTCTCCATGACAGGTCAGCAGAGAGATCCAGTAACCTTGACCTTATCATCCAAACTTCTGCATTTCACATTACACTTGTTACAAAACCTGATTTTTTTATAGTAATTACAGTTATAAAAAAGTGATATACTGATACTCACTTGTTCTGTTGTTAATAATGACGAGTACAATTGTAGCTATTAATGCCACTGTGAGGAAAAAAAGAAATATAAACATTTATAAACAAATCAAATCTTACAAACACAGAATTTCAGAAAAGAAATTCATGTTTCTAAAAATGTATAATTAATATTTTTTTTCAAGCTAAGTTTTTAAAAAAATACTATTACAAGCAAAAACTAAGAAAACATTTTTTACTCCAATCACCAAGTCTCATATTGTAGTTTTCCTTAGACAAAGAAAGAAAAAAAATCTTGGGTACTTAGCAGCAATAATGCAAACTTTCTAAGTAAAATCAGAATCACTCATGTTAAAAACATAAGCGCGAGTGGTGAAGTCATGCTGTGGTGGTCCAGAAATGTTTCTACCTGGTTTGTTTGTTTGTTAGTTGAATTTTACACAAAGCTATTTGATGACTAGATGCACTAGTCATTCCTAGCTTTGAAGTGATAGACTTGGGGGAAAGCAGTTGGGCTACTCTTTATTAACAAATAGTGGAACTGATCATGACATTATAATACCCACATAACTGAAAGGGCAAGCCTGTTTGACAATGAGTTTCAATCCCGGAGACTGCGAGGTGAGTGCTCTCATTACAATGTTGTGCCTCTCTGGAAAAATTATAAAAATATACATTTGTTGGATTTTGTGGTATAATTTAATTGATGAAAAAGAAATGATTTTAAAGGTCAGAAAAAAAGTAATACTCAACTATACCAAAATTCTGAGTTCTGTATTCGTCAGCACACAGTTGGAATTTTTCAACAGAAAACTGAAATTTCGAAATGTATGTTAACGTTTGGAATGGTTTCTCCTAAATCGAAATAGTTGTCAGACATTTACTTATTTGAAATATGCAAAACATTCAATACGTAACAGACTGATTACTCTTTAATAAAAACGGTCAGAGCATTTTCTGAAGATTACAAACCTAATACAGTGTTTAGTGTGTCTTAGACAAGCTTAGGGTTCAGTAACACCTACATTATACCTTTGGCATTTAATACTAGCTTATCTGTGTTCCTGGAGACTTTCTACTTGGCTTGGTTGTGGTACCCTTTCACATCAACGATTATTCCAGATGCCATGGCAATAACGCCTAGACCAAGATTTTGGACAGACTGCATGCTATAAAAGAGAAACTCATCACATAAAAAGGATTAAAACTGATGAGAAGAAAGTAACTCATTCATTATTTGCTCCTTACGTTAAACAAAAAACTACCTATTTTATTATTTTTTATTTCTAGTAGATGACATCCTTAATAAAATGTTTAAGTTTTTTTCCTTACTTACTAAGGAACATAATCAGCTTAAACTGAGAACGTGATGGTGGAAAGAAAGAAATTCTTGGAGATCGCAATACCAACAAAGACAAATAACATCATCCTGTTTTAAAACTGGGTTTTATAGCTACTTGGCCTGTTTATAGGGAAGGAAGATTAACAAAAAGCAACAGTAGATTTGTACATATGTTCTGAATGACCTCATAACAGTGACTATGCAGGGGTGGATTCACTACAAGTTTTTTTTTCTTTTACGTAATGAAGTCCCTGGAACCATCACAAGTATAATACACACCAAGCTCGTTTCAACATGAAAGACTGGTACAGAAAAATGATTATACAAAATATAAGATGGATCAGGTTGAAAGTCACTAAATAAAGACTTGGTCATTGCAGGATAAAAAAAGAGTTCAAATTCTGATCTTTAACCTTTTAGCAGCGAGCTCGTACAACTTGCAGAAATCAAGTCGTAAATTTCACTTGCACAACAATACATGCGGTAACTCCGAGATTTCTTAATGTATTCTCTCAAATACTGATAAGATTTTGCTAAAGATCGTAAATATCTTGTACACTAAGAATGACATTATAATTAAGCATTTAAAAAAAAATGTTACTTGTATTCAAACTATTAACAAATCGAGTGCAAGATTTTCATTTTAAGTATAAAAATTCTTTTCGTCATCTTATAGTTTTCATATTTCATTTGCATAATCTTTAGAACCTCCTAAAAGGATATCAAAAGTTTTTAAGGTAGATGTTTATATTTTATTTTCCATTTTCTCTACCATATAACTAACTCTAGCTATTATCATCAACATAAAATGCAATGAAATAATTAAAATCAGGAAACAGAAAAAATATATACCTTTTCATTTTTTTGTAGAATATCTTTAAAGATTTTCTTTTTGTTAAATTAGTAATTTCAGGTCATTTCACATAGTTAATCTGTAATGTTTTATTTTCATTTCTTGTCCTTTACCACTTACTATTCATCTCGACACAAGTCAACGGTGCCCTCGAGGCAAATTACAGTTTCTTTGGCAAAATTTTTGTTTAGTGCGTAATATTGTAAGCTTTGAGAATGGACGCAAAATATGTTGTACATTTAAAAAATGTTTAAATGTTTCAATTATGTATTTTAAACCATAACTAAAACATAATAGTAAGACCTAAATACAATTTAAACTATCTCAAACTATAAAATATTTAGGTAAGAAACAACCACAAGTGCTACAGTCAATCAAGCAGCCAGCAATACTACAGTCAGTTACATGTAATCCATGGTGACAACTGCACACCAATTTCAAAATAAGTTCTGTTAGATTATTTGTGTAAAATGAGCTCTTTCTAAAGATTATACACATGTGTATGTTGCATCTACATGTAGGCTATAAAGCTCAAACAAATCTGTTGAAAGTGGGTGTCAGGGGTTGAAAACTTTATTACTTGTTTTAACTGTATTAATTCAGAGTACTTGGAAATGAGCGAGTCAAAAGGTTATGTAAACAACGTAATGTCTCGATGTACCTTTACTCAACTACCTCTGTATTACTGATACAGAGTGCCAAAATATAGAATTTTTATAGCTCATTGGTCACACGACAATACATATGAAGTTTAAAGTAGTTTTTTTAAAGGTTTGTTTAAAATAAAAAACTTAAAACTTGAATAAAATAAAACATTGAACCATAACATACATTATTATATTAATTTCATTCACATACATTGATCATAAAGCACTTAAAGGGGCTCCTGTTGCGAAAGGGTTAAAAAAAAGTCAACACGCACACAAATTCACCAGTGTCAGCAGCATAGGATCAGACTTTAACAGAATTACCGAAACTTAGATACTCCAGTATCCAGATGTATTAGTAGTTTCTGTGGGTATGATAAAGTCCAGTTATGTATACTGATGCATCTCATTAAGACACATTTTAATGTCAGGCAGGTAGGAAAATAAAATGGCATAGTTTTGTTATGTGTGTGTGCATGTATTTTCTTATAGCAAAGCCACATCAGACTATCTATTGTGTCCACCAAAAGAAATCAAACCTCAGATTTTAGTGTTGTAAATCCGATGACTTACTGCTGTCCCATCGGGAAACTTTAGTTATGTATGCTGCTTGTTGCAAGTTGCCCATATATCATATGGTACAGATGCTAGACCCATTATTAAATATTTTTATCTTTATTCTCACTATGATAAACATGAAGCTAACAGACTAGATAAAATCATATCACACATATCAAGTTTTATTAAAAAAATTACAACTGACCAAAAAAGACAAACTGTACATAGGTTTTCACTTACAGGCCATAAGCTGTCCCTAACTGATGTTCTGGCACCACTAATGCCACCATTGGCCATAAGGCACAAGCCAATAATGAATACGAGTTACCCATAACAACCTAGATGAAAAGTTCAAGAAAAAGTGTGTAAGTCATTTTTAACACACAAGATCGGGGGGAAAATACAGCCTTAAATATATACAAAAACAAAGGAGCATCATAATGGGGGAAAATACAGCCTTAAATATATACAAAAACAAAGGAGCATCATAATGGGGGAAAATACAGCCTTAAATATATACAAAAACAAAGGAGCATCATAATGGGGGAAAATACAGCCTTAAATATATACAAAAACAAAGGAGCATCATAATGGGGGAAAATACAGCCTTAAATATATACAAAAACAAAGGAGCATCATAATAATAATAATGCAAAATCTTTGAATTTTTGGTCTTTAAGGCACTTCAGGATTAATTATTAGCTAAAACCCTTATTTACTTCTCAATACATGCACATAAATGTAACAGGTTATTTATTTCATTTTAAGAATATATTTTTCATTAATTCAATACTCATATATTTATTTCTAAGCTGTTATAATAACTCACCATGGCAATCCATGGGTTCAAAAAGGAAAAAGCCAGCAGCATATGTGCCCCAAGGGTGACCAAAACAGAAATAAACACCCACATCAAGTTACGACCTGTTCTGTCTACTAATATACCAAACAGTGGAGAGGCGATGGCAGAGATAACATATACGATGCTAAATATAAAAATATTACTGTTATTTAGTGATAATTCATGCTGACATCAATTCTTAAGCCCTCAAATGTTTATTCTTTCACTACCTTAGCCCTAGAATTACTGACAGTTTACGCATGAACTTCAATGACTTTTTAAATGTATTGTTCTAAATTGTTGGTCGTTAATAACATACAAACATTTCAGCAAAAATAACATCAATATTACAATTAAACCGACCAATAACAGTTTAGATCCTCTGTTTGTGGATCTCACTCATAGTGTAAGGTATATAAATGTGTCAGTAATTTTAGGGTTAGGAGAGTAAAACTGTGTGATAATTATCTGAAGAGGATTTTCTCACACAGAAGTAAAGAAAAATTAATTTAGACCTCGTGTAATTCCCTATGGTGTAAGATGTTTCTTTATATTAAGCTTCAATGCAAAGCTACACATAGGACTATCTATATAGTGTTCACTGGATCAATCCCTGAAATTTAGGATTATAAGCACTCAACCAAGTGAGGAACTTCTTTTGAATAATAAGCAAAATCTTATGATGACTAGCAAGAAAATGTATTATTGCCCAATTGTTAACAAATTAGTTGTTGTTTTTAAAGTTCCTTATATCCTACAGTTTTTTTTTAATCATCATCGTAAAGTGGACCAAGTACTAACATGCTAATGTCAATAATTAACAAAAATAAACTCTGTTATTAATGTAAAACTGAAAACACTACTGTATTTGATATACAGGTTTCAAATTCAAAATTTTTACAGCTAGATAAAAAAAGAAAAAAAAAATTATATGACACTTGGTAGTGCACAAATTTGGGACAGACCATTGCACATTTCGAGCACTGGATTTAGTCATCAACACTAAGTGAACTGGAAAACCTGGCATTTCCATAAAAGAATACTTTCCTGAATAGTTAGATGGTAATAACATTTAGCTAAAGATCTGAAGATGTTGAGCTGAAAAATTGCAAAAAAATATTTTTGTAGATTTTGTACTAAATCAAGAATAAGAAAAAGTAAAAACAACAGTGCATTCACATTCATTAAAAATGAACAAATAGAGATCTATACTGGGAGTAATTTCAAACGATAAAAGATCAACTTGTGTTTTTACCTGTCTACAGCATTGGCTCCAGTTGACGTGAACCCAAATTTTTTTTCAAAAAACACACTGAAAAATTAAATAAAAACCTCAATAAACACACAATGAGACCTGCCATCTGAAAATCATATATACAACATAGGAAAACAGTGATTTCAAGTTATAATGAGATCTTAATAACTAAAACTTTTTTCAAAGTACAAAACCTTGCCCATTTCCAATAGAATTTACTGTACAATCTTGGCCACTTATCTGGAAGATAATGCATAATTTACAAGTACCGTGGAGAATACTGCATATACATGTTGTCCTCAGGGATATTTTGGGGACATTCCAATTTGGAAAACAATGTATATACATGTTGCTCTGAGAGATGTTTTGTGGATTTTTGAGTGCTGTCAAGTCTGGTGTATATACATGGTGCTCTGGAAGATGCTTTGTGGATTTTCAAAAGCCCCGGAGAACAATGTATGTATGTGTAGTTAAATGAATAATAAAAAAGTATGTCAGTTTAATTATTAAAGATAAACTTAGATTTTATGAACATACATACATACATACAATAAAGTACATGATTTTTTTTATTTTATCAGATTTTACATAGCTCAATCTCGAATTTCAAATATCTCTGATAATTCGGTGATCCAGCTTGTGCAATAGTGTTAGCCAGAGTAGACAAGACAGGGTTTAAGTAACAAAGTTTTGTCCTACTTACTAACAGGTTTAGAGCATTACTATAGTATATAAGAAACTGTAATACATAAGCGAAGAAAATAATTTGATGAAAAAAAACTCACGCTCCAAGTCCAATGAATGGAAATATTGCCACATAATAGGCAATGCAAATCACAGTTAATAACCAAAAGCTCAACGGAAAATCCTTCACATCAGTTAGTCTGATTGTTTCGCCTATTAAAAAAGAGAACATGAACATTAAGGCTATGTTAGAGAAAGAAAATTTGTTATCTCAATGCAGGAATGATAAAATTCAAAAATATTAAACGGGATGATTTACGTATTGGCTGTTAACAATACACAGCATTAATCATACAAATATATAAAGTGGTAAAATAAGGAATCACCTATTCTTAGTTCCTTAGTACTGTTTAAGGTACACATTAACTTCAATACAATTTCTGCTTTGTGTAGTCCTAAAGCATGTCAACATCATGAGATTCTTAGCTGGGTGGTTGCTACAGTGATGTTAATCCTCTTCAATTACTTTTAAATATATACAAATCTTAAACTACTACACATAAATCTGTATGTAATCAGTGGCTCCACATTTAAAAGATGAATATTTAGAGAAGAGCTATAATATCATAAGTTAGGTCACATTTTTTGATTCTTTAATAAAACTTATTAAAACTATTTGACATAATTATTTCTTTAAAAACTTTGGAAACCTACCTGTTCCTATAGATGCTTTTTTCAAAATTTTTTCTGCACGCCAATCCAAAAAACCAAGGACAAAGGCACATACCAAGGACAGCAAACAACTGACTGATGCTGAAAAACAAAAAAGTAGGATCAAAATGAAGTTGCAGATACACATAAAAGAATATCGATTTATGAAAATTAAACAAAACGGAGGTGAAGATACATATAAAAGAATATCAATTTATGGAAATTAAACAAAACAAAGTTGAAGATACGTGTAAAAGAATACTGATTTATGGGAATTAAACAAGACGAAGCTGAAGATACACGTACAAGAATATCGATTTATGGAAATTAAACAAAACGAAGCTGAAGATACATGTAAAAGAATATCAATTTATGAAATTAAACCAAACGAAGCTGAAGATACATGTAAAAGAATATCAATTTATGGAAATTAAACAAACGAAGCTGAAGATACATGTAAAAGAATATCGATTTATGGAAATTAAACCAAACGAAGCTGAAGATACATGTACAAGAATATCAATTTAAGAAAATTAAACAAAATGAAGCTGAAGATACATGTAAAAGAATATCAATCAATGAAAATTAATCAAAAACTTTAGAAAATATTTTGCAGCAAAAGTTCATGAAAACATTGGTAAGATCTGAAAAATTATGAAGACTAATCAAAATCAATAACCATTAAATTCGAGGCAACATACAAGTTTAAACAAAAAAAAACTTCAAGCTAAGAGTATTTTTTTCTAATTATTAATGAAAAAAATTACAATTATAAAACAAGTCACCTACAATTTCCAGAGTGACAGATTTGTATATTAGTTCAAGTAAAATTTCTTACAATTTTAACCCTATGTGCATGAGGTAAACTTTTAGCAAATATTACAAGTATGTTGTGACAAAAAATCAGAATTTTTAATGAAGTATATTCAGTAATGATTTGTGTATGGTTTACTTTAGTCAGTCTGATTCAGACCCTCACTTGTCTAAGTGCAACATGATTAGAATTAAACTACTTTATCTTACAGTTTTCATATTTCATTTATATAACTCCTAGAAGCTCCTTATTGAATATCAAAAGCTTTTTTTTGGTAAAACTTGAAGCAAAATTTCAGGTTACATACTGTATGGCATCTAACTACGTACTTCCCTCATGCATTTATCAACACTAGGTTAGAGGTTCAACATATAATTCATGAAGCTCTCAAATATGCATTTTAAAGCACAAACAATAATTCAAAATAAAACAGAATACCCCCCCAAACTAGTATAATTTATCTGGCTTTCTAGGTGACCTTAAAAAGGTTTAACAATTTCATCACTTACTGGAGCATCGACTTCAGTCTTCACTCAAAATCCGCTTGGGGGATGATGTCTTTTATCAAAATAAATTAGCGTAAAGATGTCATAATCATACAGTTCACAAAATGGTCTTTCAGTCACTTATAAACATATACCACTGACAAGTAAGCAGGAGTAAACAAGTATTTTCCCGTGATGGGTGTATCAAATTTATTGATATCTTAGAAAATAAAGAATGTAGGAGATTCTTATTTTAAATTCTAGTCTGTCAATATCTATAGTTGGTGTAATCTAATTGGTGGACATTCTGAAAACCCATATAAAAAAAAACAACCTATAATGGAGAGTTCAAAGCACAGAGTCATCATGTGACAAATAGAACGGAAGATTGAGAATTTATTTATATATTTCCTTTTTTTAAAATGAAATAAAAATTTATTATTTCAAATTTGAATTATAAACTATGTTGTGATGCAAAGTTTATTGACATACATTGATAATAAAGTTGTTTAAATCTTGAATGTAACTGTAACAGTCATGACACGTGCACTTTGACATGCACATAGGGTTAATAATATAATTTATATTGGTCTTCCACTGCTCCAGTCAAAATCCAAGAATAAACTAGTGCCTCAAAAAAGTTCAAAATACAGAGATTTAGCCCTTGTAGTCTGTAGGATTAGAACATTTCAAATGCCAGTTTCTTTTGATATCCTTATTATTTTAATATTAGTAAACAGTTTAATTGCTAAAAGAAATTTTGAATGATTTTCTAACTCACCAACAAACAGAACAATTCCTAAACACTCATACCCTTCATAAGACTTGTCTATCCACTTGTAAACTGGCTGCATGACATTAAAGTTTACTGTACTACCCTGTAAGTGGGACAAAATTTGTACTTATTCAAAAAATATGCAAATTAGAAGAAAATAAGATACAATTTACTTTCTCCTTCTGTAGTTATCATATTAAACACAGAATTAAGTAAAGTGAAAACAGGAAAAAGAAATTATGGTTTACAATTTTTAAATCATGACTTAGGCAATGCAGATATATATAGTTAGGCCTAGTTTTTTTTTTTTTTATATACAAGAAACAACTACTAGATAGATAGTAACTGTACATCATGAAGTGGTGCTGAAACAAAGATTAGTAAGCTATTTTTTCTATTTTCGATCATAGTTAACATCAAATTCAAGAATAACATGGTTCATATATTAAAACTAAGTGTTTCTGTGTTCTAATGAAGATATATATAGTTAGGCCTAGTTTTTTATACAAGATACAACTACTAGATAGATAGTAACTGTACATCACGAAGTGGTGCTGAAACAAAAATTAGTAAGCTATTTTTTCTATTTTCGATCAGTGTTAACATCAAATTCAAGAATAACATGGCTCATATATTAAAACTAAGTGTTTCTGTATCGCAAGCATGTCTCTTTAACAAAGTAGTTTTCAACCTTTCCTTCAACATAGATCCTCACCCAGACTAGCTAGAACCTCACAGACTCGATACTTGTATAGAGCTATCTGGGGAAGCTTATCCTACAGTGGAATCAACATTTTGTTTTAAACTATTATATGGAAATTCAACATTTACCACTGTGGTCCTAATTTAGAATGCTTATAGACACCTAGTGGTCCAAGGACAAGGCTCTAATATGCATTTAATATGATACCTACAGTTAATTCCAAAAGAACATGCACATCAACATGAAAAACTAAATCAACATTATAAGAGAGCAATGAATGTAGAAATTATAAAATATTATTTACCTGTGTGCTGAATAACATACATCATGAAGTATATGTAAACAATCTTGAGTTTTTTCAACTACGACTCCACAAAAAACATCATGAACTGTTCAGAACACTTGCATGAAGTGTTTAGAACACCTACACAAATATTAAAATGAATAAAAGCTATGTATACATACAACCCGGGCAAAACTCAGTTGAAGTCCAAAAACCATGTTCAGCTCTTTTCCTTTAAACCAGCTGACCGCATACGTGTTTTGTGCTACAGCTAGAGATTCTCCTCCAATGCTAGTAAAAATTTTAAAAAGTTCAAATACAAACTATTAGAATAAATATTTTTATTCTAATCACATTACTAAAACTTATTCTACTAAAGCAATAATAAAAGGAAAAAAGCCGGATAAACTGAAACAAATTTTTACTTTTTCTACAACCTGTGTTCAAAATTATGCAAGATTACAAAAATTTCCTTTTAATCTCCCTTCATGTTCACAGAGACATTACAACCTATGCTCTTTTGTTTTCTAATAAACATTTAATTTTGTAATTCATTCTACTATTATTTAAACTACTTTTATTAACCTCACGTTAAAAATTACTTTTCACAATCACTAATTATAAAATCTGGACTGGTTGAAACAGATCTTTAGTGAAGTGGTCAAAATATTCTTTGGATGTAAAACAACCAAATGACAACCACAGATGAAAGTGTGGAATGTATTCAGTGGTCAGAATATTCTTTTAATGTACAACAACCAAATGACAACCACAGATGAAGGTGTGGAATGTATTCAGTGGTGAAAATATTCTTTGGATGTACAACAACCAACTGACAATCACAGATGAAAGTGTGGAATGTATTCAGTGGTCAAAATATTCTTTGGATGTACAACAACCAAATGACAACCACAGATGAAAGTGTGGAATGTATTCAGTGGTCAAAATATTCTTTGAATGTACAACAACCAAATGACAACCACAGATGAAAGTGTGGAATGTATTCAGTGGTCAAAATATTCTTTGGATGTACAACAACCAAATGACAACCACAGATGAAGGTGTGGAATGTATTCAGTGGTCAAAATATTCTTTGGATGTACAACAACCAAATGACAACCACAGATGAAAGTGTGGAATGTATTCAGTGGTCCAAATATTCTTTCGATGTACAACAACCAAATGACAAACACAGATGAAAGTGTGGAATGTATTCAGTGGTTAGTTCCTTGGACTTTCTGATTCACAGCCCTGCTTGCTAACCACCAGACCAAACTCGACCTTTCCACAAGACTTGATAAAACTTATATTTACTTTTAAAATTAAGGCAGTTAATATTGGTGATAGTTAACACATTCAAAGTTTTATTTCAATACTGATGTAATTCAAAGTGACTCTAACACAATATGTAATAATTACAAGTTGTTAATTACTCTTCAGAATCCAAAAGAAAAGCATAACAAGAGAACACTTCGTTCTTCAAAGCTGTTCCTGCATACTCACCCTTAAAGGAAAACTTAAACCCAGCCTTTATTTTTCAGGAAATTAACTATTCCCTTTTTAATTTATTATAAAATCCCAGCCTCCATTACTTCCAGTCAATGCATTTAATAAATTAGTCATTCTACTAGAAAAATAAAGTTGCCTTAACTGGAGACTAGCCTGTATTATCTATAACTTAAGCTTGTCATCTCATCCTAATATCTGCAAAAAAAATTATCTATTAAACTTAAATTTGTGCTACCTGTACCACATTCTCTGGTCTCATCTTTCTGTTGTTAGGAAAATATTTCCATAAAGAAGTATTACTTGCCAATCTTTGAAAATGGTGTGTTCCAGATCTGAAAGACTTTCCTTCACAGAGTAATCATTTCCCCCAACAAATATTTTTGTTAGATGTATATTTATAAAAACATAAACTGATAAAAACCTTCAGTGTTCAGTAAGAGTTCATTTTAATGTGCAACTTGACATATTAAACACAAATTTATCAAGTTTTTCTGAAACTTAGTATGTATTACTTAATTTAAAAAAATTGAACACGAATCTTACCCAAATACAAATCGGCCAGCTTCCATCACCCAAAATTTATTCACCAAAGCTCCAAGTGCAAATATAAACTGCAAGAAAAAGCATAAATTGTCTGTAATATTTCCAGATCAGTATCTATACAAATAATTTGTTAAAACTACCATACAGAATTAAGTTAACAATAATTTATTAAAACCACCATACATAATTAAGTAAATGATAATCTATTAAAACTACCATACAGAATTAAGTTAATGATAATCTATTAAAACCACCATACATAATTAAGTAAATGATAATCTATTAAAACTACCATACAGAATTAAGTTAATGATAATTTATTAAAACCACCATACAGAATTAAGTAAATGATAATCTATTAAAACTACCATACAGATCAAACATTTCATTTGCCACATCACACATAATGTAATGACGGTATCGTTTGTGGCGGTCGA